CAGGATCGTTTGGAAAATGCAGTGGAGAGATGAACAAAGGGAGCGAGCCCACAAAAAAAGCAGAGAAAGTGTATGTGTGTGTGTGTGTGTGTGAGTGAGGGAGAGAGAGCCAGAGAGAGAGAGAGAGATGTGGATGGTGGAATGTGAAGGTGCAGCAGGTCAGAGGATATAGATAGATGCTCAGTATCAAAGGAAGTGGTCAATGTTAAAGAATGATGATCCGTATACCGAGCAAAAAAAACCAAAAAATAATGTTATACTACAGTTTACAACTTAATGTTAGATTATTTGTTTGTTTTGTTATCATTACTCATCATCTGAAGCTATTCATTTTTAGTGGTGAAAAAAACTTACGGTACTAGTGCAGTTACAAGTGTTTGATATATGCGTAAAAACAGATACAAGCAAGTACCAGTACTGACACTTCTCTAGTTTGGGTTTCAATGAAAACAAGGACCTGAGGCAGTATTTAAGTATTAAACAAAAAAAATCTATAAACCTAAATTTTTGTCACATTAGAAAATGCAGCATAAAACTAAGTATAAAGTAAATATAAAATATAATTTTTGATTATAAAAATGTTCTGCATAGTTAACACAGCGAGGTGGACAGAAAGTGAGCAGAGCTTTTGGATTATTATTATTCCAAACACTTGTCAACCATCCAGGGAGGAAAGCCACACATCTCATTAGACACTTTGTTAGTAGTAATGAAAACAGTCAGGTTTTCGTTGTTTACCTGGACGACACTTGGTCCTGGCTGCAACACAGGAGGGACATGTATGTGTGTGTGTCTGTGTGTGTTCAGTCTGGGACCATTTCTTTGTGTTTGTGTGTTCATTCAAGTGTGTCCTGCAGACAGCCAAGCAACTGACCCTCAGTCCGGCCATTATTGGCTGGGCTAGTAGGCAGTGTCTGTGTCTGGAGCATGTTGTCGTGTCCTGTCCTGTCTGTTATGCCTTCAAGTGTCCCCTGAATATACACACACACACACACACACACACAGTCCACATAGCTGCATGCGTGTGCATCTGTGTATGTGTGTGTCTGCTCTGCCTCCTAGTGTCCCCTCAACACCAATCGACAGACACACTCCCACCCTCAGCCCGTGGCCCACATAACTGCGTGTGTGTGCTGTCACATACACTACAGTCCTGGGCCAGTGATTTGCCCTGTAACTGCAGTGAGCAGAAGTGGGGCAGGTGTGTGTTTGTGTGCTTACGCACATCTTTGTCCGTCACATCAATTTGTGTCTGAGCGTGTGTCTTGATTTACAAATATTCAATCGCAGTACAGTACAGTTTTGATGTATTTTTTCCTTGTACTGTATACGGAAGTGTATTCTCTCAGTGTGTGTCTGTGTGTTGGTTTTATGTCCAATGATCAGACACATTATTCAGACGGTGGAGGAAAAAAAACATGCCTGGTTTTTTCACTTTGTTTGTGTGTGTGTGTTCTTGTCAGTTTGTCACAGAGCAGCTTTATACTGGGGAACAGCACTAGCTGCACAGTTTCCATAATTGTATTTAACACCAAAGGTTTTTAACCATAATCGACTTGATGAAGAGCAGTGGTGATTTGTGGCGGCGTGTGACGAAGGTCGTTCCATTATTTGACTTACTTTGACTTAGAGGTAGATGAAGCTCCATTTTACTGCAGTACAACCAACTGCCAACCTTGACTCTGTACTGTTTAACCTGAGTGTTGCAAAGGTAAAAAGGAGTTTTTCATATTCAGGGTTTGTTCTTCATCACCTCTGGATCTGTTGTGTCTGAAGAATCTTTAAAGTCCAATATATTCAGTTAAAAGTTTTCCTCTTTTTTTTTCCTCAATAACCTCAAAGCACCACAGGTCACACTAACCCTTTCACACATTTTCATACATTTTCATACAGCATCTGATAATCATCCATTGACACACTGTTAGTCTGCTCCACATCCAAGGACATCACAACATGCCGACCTTCTCTGCCTTCACAGCCTAATGAAAGAACACTTATAAATAATGCAAAGTATGCTGTCAATGGTCCCGTCTACAATTTTTTTGGGGGGGTGGTGGGGGAGAATCCATTAGTATTCAAAGAAATTGAATAGAAAATAAATTAGCTGCTGCATGATGGCGCTTCACTCAGATGAAAGTTTCTGTTTCACCCAAACAAAATAAACAAAAAGAATCCACCTGAACACTCTCAGGCTTTATGAACTGAGCATGTGTCACACAAATTGCAACAACAATAGTTATATGACTTATATATTTACCTATTGACATCATTAAGACTCAACCACAAAGTCTTCCATCCTACACAATGTAAGGTTGGTGTGTAATTAATTCAAGTACTTACTGTTTTAAATGAAAAACTGAAGGAACTGCTCACTTGGTTGGTAGAAGTGTTCTACAACATCATGTCAACGGGAGAAAAATCTGGAGGAAATGTTGCAGCAGCTCATGCAAGAGATTTTTGAAAAATGATAATTTACATTAATACTGAGTGTAAAAAATTTAGATTTAAAACAATACACCAAATGTACAATAGAACAAAATAAAAAAATTATATAAACTACAATACACCAAATGTACAATAGAACAAGATAAAAAAAATGTATAAAAAGAGCCAAGTGTAAAATGTAAAAAAAAAAAGTGACTGGACGGATGGATGGATAGAGGGGTGGTTGGATGAATGAATGGATGTTCGGATGGATGAATGGATAATGGGAGACGTGCATGTGACTTAATGCTGCATGTAGGTGACAACTGGAACAGGCATTAAGAATTTGGTTTGTCATCAGCCAGGACCTGATTGGATGGTTGTGTCACAGTTAATTGTTGTCTTTCCTCTGGATGAGATCTATTGTTTTATAGTCTTGACATTATGGTCCACTAGAGAAGGTGTAGAAGTGAAGCTGTGTGATTGGTTTGAAATGGAAAAAAAAAATCCTGTAGACCTTTGTCCATGTTTAGAACTTCACCATCTAACCCTAGTTTAGGGACAAGTCCTATCATTCCTTATGTTCAGATGAAGATGAAGACGCTGAAATTCAGCGAACTTTGTTGCAGGTAACAGTGAATAACACCATGGCAGTTGTTCTCCTCTCCTCTCCTCTCCTCCACTCTACCAGCATCATCAGCAGGAGCAGATAGAGACCATCCTCCCAACTGTCTTTCTTCTCCTCACTCACACCTTGCTCTTGCTCTAGGCCTAGTAGCTGTAATGGCATTGGGAATGGGCGGGGGAGGGGGGGAAGGGGGAGGTAAGAGCAGGGGTGCACATTAAAAACATCCCCTCTGTGATAAGCTGCAGCTTGTTACCATGGCAACGCCTATTACCTGCACCCCGAGACAGGGGATGGAGGGAGAGAAAGTCAGAGAGAGGTAATGGGTCAAGAGATTGTGTCCTAATGGTGTGTGTATGTGTTTTTAAAGATGTGTGTTTTTCGTTATGTCCGTGTGTGTGTGTGTGTGTGTCTAACCTAAAGACTTTAGTTCATTGACTCTTCATTATATGTTCTATATCTGCTAAATGTTGCCATGCTGAGAACACATCTTTGCAGCAGTACACGCGCACACACACACACACCTGCGCACACACACACCTGCGCACACACACAGACTGTCCGACTGGTATTCTTTACACAGACATTTTTGCGGACACCCTAACAGTACTGTCTGTACTGACTCTGTCCACACAGAAACTCAACAGGTTAAATTATAGAACATTCAATCAGGACAAAACCTCTGAAAAAATAACTCTGTAATTGATTGAACAAAATGATGCAGTAACTTTACAGAGAAAATACATTAGTGTGTAGGTGCCTCAAAATAAGGCCCGAGGCCCAAGACTGAGGACTCTCTGTCTGTAGAAGAACAGTCACCAGAGCATAGAAAGCTTTGGACCAAAAATAAATCCATGAAGAGACCTTGTTGTTGAGTGTGTGATCCCGTCACTCAGTCGTCACACAGGAACCTTCTAACTCATCTCTGTTAGTATGTACTCCGAGACTTTTCAGCCTCGTCCTCCTCCTCTGTGTTCCAGCAGCTTTACAATAATTTGTTCAATCCTTGCTCTTCTTCTTCTCTCTTCCTCTCTCTCTTTTGCCCTCTGACTTTCCCACCCTCACCAAACCAGAAGAACATGTTGCACTCCCACCTCTAGTGGTGATAAGGGAGGATCCCTGGTCTTTCCGGTATTCCCAGGACTGAGAGTGACTTGTGTGTGTGTGTGTGTGTGTGTGTCCTTTGGGGATCTTTGTTAATAGTCACTCAGCAGGTTGTAGCCTTTCTTCCTGGCTGCTCAATCATTCAGGGTTAATTATACAGTACACCATAAATTGGCTTCACATCATTTAACATCAGAGGAATGTGACATGTTGGAGACAGTGAAACATTTTTATTACACTTCAAATACCTACAAGAATAACAGGAAGACTACGTCCTGGTGGTTCATTCATAATACAGTTAAAGTTGTAGTAATGTAAAATAAAAAGAAGGTCAGGAAGTAAAAGAAGTTCCATTCATCCATAGTATTCATATCTAACACTGACATCCTGGTCACTCCCAGCTGTAATCATATATTTTATCATTACTCACCGTTCATTTATCCCTTTGTCTGTTGTTCAAAAGATACATTTTCAGTTTATCATTTTTATCTCTGTTTCTTAGAACATTTTAATTGTTCTTTTGTCTTTTAATGGTCACAATAAAGTATTTTTCAGGTTCTTCACTTTATAAATTCTATACAATAAGCTTAGCTTATTGTTAAGAAATGTATAATTAACACGCAGTTTTATGTAATAAAGAAAAATTTCAATTTACAATTATATGACTCCTGTGATTGTTTTCTCTTGTAGTTTCCCGGGCTCTTCTTGCTCACTTCCTGTGGCTCAGGTGTCTCCTCTCACTGTGTGTCAATAACCAGTTTATTTTTTTATTTTTTTATCTTGAAACAACTGTAAAACAAAGAGAAGAGAATAACACCCTCGTTTATTCTTCTTTGTCTGTTTTCAGTGTGTCGACAGCGTGTCTGGTGTTGATTCTTCACTCAAACGTGTAGCAGTGGTGGAGGATTTCTTCGACATCATCTACGCCATGCACGTAGAAATCAGCACCGATCCTGGAAAAGCACCGAAACACGCCGGACAGAAGAAAACCTACAAAGCTGTAAGACCGACACTGCTACTTTTTCAAATGTCTATTTTTTTCTTTAGTATTTTCCCCCCATTTTTGTTGTAAAACTTTATTAATGTGAGCTGAAAAACACACGGGCAACACTTCTCCCTTCCCGTGGTGACTTTTCGCGGCTTAGAGACAGAAGTGTCATCTGATAGGTTGATGTACTGCTAGAATGGTTTTGATTGGCTGTTGTTATTTATTGACTTTAGACTTTAACTGAAAAAAAGTTCTTTGAAACGACTCTCCTAGAGAAAACGTTTGTGCCAGGTTTGTGACATAATATATCGAATTACTTTTAAAATTCATACATATTTAATTTCATTTCACTCGTTCATTTACGGTTCTATATCAAAGTTCTGCTTTTAATTTGTTTCATGTAGTAATTCTAGTTCTAAAGCTAAAAGAAAAAAGCCTGTACTGATGGCCGTGCGCTGCTCTGCTCTCTCTGTTGCTAACACTGCCCTCTGTTGGCCAAATTGACTTACCGCAGGTTCTTTTTAGATTTACGACTTTCCATTAAAACCATCTTCGAAAGAGGTGAAACGAATCCCCGCTTTATGGTTAAGTTATTTTTATCTAGTTTTTTGTAAAATGTACTCTTCAGATTTATGTTTTACTCTTCTGCTGCGTACTTGTACAATTTATGTTAAATTAAACGACACATCACTTCAAAAATTAAAAGGTAACATTTGCCACACACACTCACACAACCCGATCCACCCACACTGTCTGTTTCCCAGCCTTCCTTTGTGTCTGCCGTTCTGAATAAATATGATTAATACATTTTCCTGACTCAAATATAGCCACACATATATTTTTTACAATTCATATGTGCGATTTCTCTCACAGCTTGCTCTCCTTTTCTTGTAGTAAAAAACCCCAGATGTGGTCTGTTCCACCGAGTCAAGACAATTACACACTGAAGTGCAGCCTGTGGCTGGAATGTTAAAGAGAAAGAAACACTGATTTCAGTCGTTTCCCTGACTTAAAAATCCTGTCAGTTAGCAAACCTGATGAGTCAGTGTCGTTTTCAGAAACGAACAGTGACTCACAGTAGTTGAATAAAAAAAAAATTCAACATGTTAGAAGCAGTACACATGGCTGAAATACTTCACTGAATCAAACTGGAAGACATTCGATGAAAAACAGGAAAAATAGAGAAGCAACAATCATAAAACAAATCAAATTCTGTGTGACTTGTTGACAAATGAAATGGACACTGTCTGTGTCCACAGTAGTGATGCTAATAAATGAACTCTGGACCAGGGGTAACCTGTTTTACAGGTGGTGATTAGTATTCTCACCCCCCTCTCCCCTGTCTGTCTCCCTCCCTCTCTCACACTCCCAGATCGCCGAGACGTACGCCTTCTTGCCCAGAGAGGCAGTGACTCATTTCCTGATGAGCTGTGGAGAGTGTCAGAAGAGGATGCACATCAGCACCACAGGACAGGACTACAAAGGTACAAAACACCACACGGACGCAGCAGAGCTATTCAGTTTGAATGACTCTCCCTGCAGTCTCACCCACAGAGCAAGCTCTCAAAACAAACGGGTAGATGTTTGGGGAGACACCCGATACTACTAGTAAATATAAATATATATATATTTCTTTTTTCTTTTATACTTTTTTTAGTCCCCCCCCCCCCCCCCCCGCGCGCCCCCTGTGTTTTCTGCTGTTGTTGTGTGGCAGCAGTGCAGGTCTATAGTTTTAGCTTTTGCTTTCGCTCCACACACACACATTGTGACTGTCCCTGTGAGCTGACCTGACGACCTGCTGACCTATGCACACTTTGTCAAACAGCTTCTAATAGATTAAGAGCTAGGCTATTACGTTAGCTAACCTACTAATTCCATTACTTTGCTCAGTAATTGTAATATTATTAAACCTTTTCTCTCTTAAAGTACTGGTGTCTATATAATAATATCAATAGAGTCCAACTTGACAAAGAGGGATCCGCTCCCCTCTACCCTGGGTTTGATTTATTACAATTACTGTCACTGAACAGGTTTGTAATTCAATTCTATCATATGTCAGTCAGTGTATGACCCACAGGGAGAGTATACACTAAAACAGGAGGATATTGCAGTATTAACAAATAAGGGTTTTTATGTGACATCTGGTGAAAAGAAAACCAGTGCAGCCTGTGAACCAGGTTGACGAACTCCCAGGAGGAAAATAAAACAAATGGTTAAATCTGCATTTTATTCTTCATCAGCTCCAACCTCATAAACTAGTTTCTTCTTTATATATGTTCTCCATCAATAGCACCCCAACTCTCGCCCACGCCTTGTCGCTCCCACTGCCACTTATCATTGCACCCCCCCATTATCTCACCCGTTTTCCCCCACCTTTTCTCCACACATCCTAGCTGCTGGATCCTATATATTTCCATTTCTTTCCACATTTCTTCTCCTTACATCCTCATCACTGCCCCTGGCTCCCCGTCCTCTCTCTCTCTCTGTCTCTCTCTCTCTCTCCCTTTGCCTCCTGTACCCATCCCACTACCCTGTTCTGTCCAACCCCCCACATCCCATTCTTTTCCTCCTTGTGGCTCATTAAACTGAGGAGTCACTGGAGTGTCCTGTCTCTCTCCTCAATTAGCCTAATTAATGGCTTTTTTACAAAGAAAATAGCCCAGGAAACAAGCTCATTTTCTGCAGAGTTGGGATCGGAGGGGCAGGGGGTGCGGGGGAGGCGGTGCTGCTGGGATGCTGGGGGACAGTGAAATTCAAAGAACAAAAAGAAAGAGAGAGTGATAGAGAGGGGCAGGAGAGAGGCAGAGAGAGAAAGGATGAGAGAGAGAGAGAGTAGAAGAGTCAACTTCAATGTTTTTCTAAAGAAAACTCAGAAATAAAAGCTGGTCATTTACTACTGAAGAACAACATGTTGACAGTATAACATGTCCATGTTTATGTTCATGAAAGTTGTTTTTTGTGTAGTGACTACACGTAAATATGGAGCTGGAATGAAATGAAATGATTTAATTATAATGTCTCATAAGCAGAGCATTCAGACTCACACACACACACACACACACACATACGCAGTGAGCCTAGGCCAATTAATTGCATTTAATAATTTACAGTTGAACTTTAGTGGGAGTCACTTTAGTACAGCAGTATAGGAGGACAAGATCCTGTATGTGTGTGTGTGTGTGTGTGTGAGAGAGAGAGAGTGTGTGTGTGTGTGAACCCCCACAAGGTGGGAAGGCAATTAGCTGCTCTCTTCCTCTTGCTCACCTACTCTCGAAGCGTTATGCTGTACTGACACAACACACGTGACTTATAAGTCATGTGACTTATCACCTTCTCTCTGTCTCTGTAGTAGAGTAAATACACACTCTGTCACTTACTCCTGCCCTTGTACGACCATCCATTACCAATCAATGATGACGGTCCTCTCTATTCTACTAAGCCATATTGATCGTGTGCCATGTTTTTATGTCTGTTTAGTAGAAGCCTCAACATTGGGCAGTCTGGGAGATAAAGGATAGTCATTGAATTGAACGAGTGATATTTATGGAGAAAACATTTCCCCTCCTCCCCCAGTAAATGAAAATGTCACCAAAAGAAAACATGTAATCGAATACAACTAACTTCCAAGTTTACTTTCTCAGTGTGAAACCTAGGCCTGTTTAGTTGAACACTGCACTGATATACTCGCATGAATTGAAGAAAGACCCACACGTTCTTCTCCAGCATCTCTTAGTCAATTCTTAGCCATCTGCTGCCACCTAGTGGATGAGTAGGGCCTTGGGATGCATTCAAAAACTTTGATTGCATTAATCAAAGACTTTGTAGTAATTTATCTAAATGAATTGTTATTTTATTAAATTAATTAAATTTGACAGAATAACCTATCTAAAATCTAAAGTATTTGTGCCTGAATACCGACTGAATCAATAAAAAAGATATGTGAACTTAAACAACAGTGTTGATTTATCCTCCATATTTATTCTTTTTTTTTTCCCATCTGACCTGTGAAAAGCAACAAGTCTGTTTTGGGCTCTGAACCCTGTCCTCTCCTCTCATCACCAGAGAACGACAGGCCCAGCTCCCTGGTGTCAGAGGTCATAGACTACAACATGCCGCTCACCACCACCTACATGAAACAGATGAAACTGCAGTGTATGAACAACAACAAGGTACGTGAAGCGGCTGCAGCCCAGCTGCTGTATCTGATCTGAGCCCAGATCTCTGTGTGTGTGTGTGTGTGTGTGTTTTACGCCGTTCTGAATTTCCTTGAGAGTGGATCATAACACACATCTTTAAAGCAGCAGCCTTTTGTGTACACTGGAGGATTGTTTGTGACAGGTGTGTGGGAGGGAGCCTTGAGGTCCACTAATGCAACGAAGAAGAAAACTCCCACACAGAGTCTCGTAGTCGCAATTAAAACGCCGTAATGAGCAGAAACATCAGGGTTTCAGGCTGATGCTGAGTGAGGTCAGGAGACCAAACCCATCTCTTCTTCTTTTTCTGTCACGTCCTGAGTTTATCAGGCAGTGTATTTTTATAACCCACACACAAACACATACACACACACACTCTCCAGAGGCTGGGCAGATGTTTGTACCGAGGTAAACCACTCGTGTGACCCCTGTGGGTTGCAGGTTCCTTACAGGTAGAACACGGATACTTGGAAAATTGAAACTTATTAAAGTGATAATTTTCTTGATTCGACTCATTAGAAATTATTTCAATATGGAAAAAATAGAGTAAAAGACATGAGTAAAATTACAAAAAAAAGATAAATAACATAAACAAAATATATTTATAGGGGAAAACAAATAACCAAAGTATAAATAAAAGTACAGTATATAGAAAGAACACAACTATAGCAGTACAGTGTATTTTATGTATCCCACACTTGTCTCTAAGTTGTGATAACGCTGTAGCCTGTGTCACATGGAAACAGTTGGATCGATGTTCAGCAGAATCCAAATTAATGAAGTGAAGTTTTTGGATGTTGTTGTTATCATATAATTTTCTGAATCAATTCAAGACCATAAAACAGACAATGGTTCCAGCGTTACTGTATCTGTAGTTCTGCTTCAGTGTAGGCAGATGGTTGGTTTGATTCCCACTGGTACAGTAACTGAAGGTCTTCCTTTATGAAGTCTGGGCGTTCTCCATGTGTATAAGTACTGTATGTTTTCTCTGAGTACTCTGAGCATTCTGAGTATTCTGAGTACTCTGGCCTTAAACATATCCAGGATTCTGTTCATTGGAAAGTTCTTAGTGAACAGCGTTTGGTTAAAGATGGCTTTTGAAATAATTTTATATTTTTTCCTTCTTCCTTTAGTAGACCAACGTTTAGTTGATTGACAGAGTGCTGGGTGAGGGGGGAGTCAGGGGGGAGTCAGGGGGGAGTCAGGGGAAGGGTTGGTACATTCTACATTGTTCCCACATCACCAGCACCATCCTACTAGCATGCACCACCTTTACTATCAGTACCACACACCTGCTGTCACTTATAGTTCCTCTGAGTGTGTGTGTGTGTGGGATGGTGTGTGTGTGCCCAACACACACACTCAGACAGATATGGTATATTGACATTCCCTGGCAAATTGGCACTTCACTGCTTCCCTCTCTCCCCCTCTGTCCTCAGCTAATTAACTCGACACTCTGAGGCCTCGCTTAATTGGAACAAGCTCAACCCTCTGTTCCCCCACACGTTATCTGCACACACACACACACACACACACACACCCCACAGCTCAGTTCTTATCATCTCCCTCCCTTTCCTACTTCCATAAACCCCAATATACACACGTGGGCTGTTTTTTATGAGTTGTGAGGACTTCACGTAGACAATGCGTTCCCTAAAACCTTACCTTAACTCTAACTAACTAACCTAACTATTACTATTACCCTAACCCTATACCAGCTGTTGAAAAAAGGCCACCATAAGAACAAAGGGTCTCCACAACAAAGGATTTTTTTTTTAAAAAGTCCCCACAAGTATAGCCTTACTTTAACCACACACAGGATCTGGTTTTCAAGTGTTGTGAGGACCCTAACTCCACCTTCTTAACCTGACAATAAACTAAATCTTAAACCGCACTTGAAACATTTCTCCACATAAACGAAGGGTCTCCACATCAAAGCATTAGGCCAAAAAAAGTCCCCACAAGGATAGCTATACACACATACACATACACACATATTATTACACATTCTTCCCCACTCCCACACACGCACACACACGGACACAGACACCTGCATCACTCCCTGTGACTCCTGTTACCCTCCAGCAGTTGTACCAGTCAGTTTGGTGACACCGTGTCAGTGTTGCTCTAATTAGCTCGTCTTGACATTCTGACATCACTCTCATTATCGTCTTCATGCTGGAACCCAGTGAAGTTCAAAAGCCAGCGATCGTTTTCAGTACATCTGTTTATTGACAGTATCGTTGTCCGTACAAGAAGCCGTTTTGAAAACCGTCTACCCAGGGGTTCAGTCGTAAAAAAGCGGCCGTTTGTTACTCTTTTGCAGCTGTCGGACAGTTAAAGTCCGACTGTACTGAACTGCAGTCGGACTTCACGCACAGTCTGTGAATGATAAATAAAACCTGTTCATGGACACAGGTCAGTACCAGACCCCCCAGTGGCTCCTTTAGTGAACTGCGTATTTGTCTTCTAAATTATTGTTAGTTAGTATAGCCTTTATGATATGAAGTATATTATAGTAAAGTGGGATTATAATTTAGAATAGTTTAGTTATAGTGGCATAGCAGAGATATAGCACAGTTTAGTATGACTTCCTATCATACTAATACTATACTTCCTAGTATAGTATAGTACAGCTTACCACAGTATAGTATTATATCATATGGTTTAGAACAGTATAGTAATGTAGTGTAGTATAGTATTTATTACTTGTTAATCAGATTATTTAAACTTTTCAGCTAATACATTGTATTTTTTACATTTATATATCACTTCATTTATTACTATACATGTTTACATTAAAGCTAGTGTATAAAGGTAAATATAATATAAATATTCGCTGTGTTTTATTTAGTAACACTACAACTGTCTTCTGTTTCTCCTTTATATAAATAGGCACAGTATAAGTAAATACCTGAAAAGGTTCAACAGTATACTGTACCAAGTACATACAGCGTGTACTAAAGAGTACCTACAGCAGTGTCTGTGTGTTTGTTTTACCAGTTCGTTCTCCCGCTCCTGCGTCGTCTGTTTCTCTGGACAAACACAGCAAAACGGTAACAGTGTACTGTACGTCTGTGTCGACCGACTTCTCTGTCTCGTCGGTCGGACAGGGTTCATGTGAGTGTATCTGTCTTTGTCCAGTGTGTGCGTGCACGTGGGCGTGCGTGTGTACTGCGCTGCACAGATTACAGTGCTCAGCCCAGAGGAACAAATGTACAGACAGGAATAGAGACACAATGACTCACTCACTCACTCATCACCTATAGGAATAATATAGGATGTGAGGGGCCATTAGGTGCACGGAGCAGTGAGTGAGTGTGTGTGTGTGTGTGTGTGTGTGTGTGGAGGGCACGTTAGAGAAGTACAAACTGCAAGATAGTTGAACATCTTTCTTATGAAAGACAGAAGGTCAGAGTCCTTTGTCTAGATTGTTGTTACAGAAGAGAGTAAAGTATATGAGAACAAATAGAGAGCGAGAGAGAGAGAAAAGTACTCTTCCTCTGTGTACTGTTACACAAGAGGCAACAAGGGCTGAACTAAATCTGAATAACGCGAAGCAACAGAGAGTAGGATGTGCTGCGGACGTATGTGTGAATCCTACAGCGGCCCCATTAGCACTCATCCCAAGCTTTCCTTTTTCTGCCCATCCCTTTATCCAGGGCGGTGGCTGAAGCAGTGAAGAGTTTCGAAAAGAAGAAAAAAATAAAAGATGGGAGTGTGTGGGTGTGCGGTTCCTGAGTGGAAGGANTGGGGAATAAGAGAAGAAATTAAAAAAGGAGAATGGGGCGGTTCATTATCGTTTATGGTCTCCCCCTCTCCCTCTCTCTGCCCATTATTTCAACTACCTCCAGAGGGAAGACATTTCATTATTTTTGGGAGGAAGGGTGTGAGTGGGGGTGGGTAGGGGAGGACTAGAAACCAGGCTGGGGGTTGGTCTATTATAATTACTAATAGACTGATGAGAGACCAGAAAAAAAATCTTAAAAAGAAAACCTTAAAGAGAGACAAGAACAAAAAACCTTTCATTTGATTGGATGAAAAACTAATTTTAATGAAATGAAATGAACGAGCATTAGCCTCTGACAAGGACAGGGACAGGGACAGGGACAGGGACAGGTTCTGGGCTGTACCTAGGGCTAAGCATCTAAATATCATACGTGCACTGAACCCATGTAATACTGTGTAATTTGGACTTCACTGCTCAATGAATGATAGAAACATTCTTCAGAAATCCAACAAAAGGCAGAGTAATGAAAATCTGCTCAAGGACTCAAAGGGAACGTGTGAATGGGCGATAGCTGCTGCAGCAACACGTGGACCGAGGCACACTGTTCTTATCATGAACCACCGCGTCTTCAGTAAACCACAGTCATAATCACCTAACAAGGTCTGCACTTGACTTGGAAAAAAAGAAGTTTGCAGCAGAATCAATTTGAATTCTGGGAAACTTACTTGGAAAAAAAGAAGTTTGCAGCAGAGTCAGTTCGAACTCTGGGAAACTTTGGGGGAAAGCAAAAAAAAGGGAAGGAAAAATATGAGTGAAGTAAAAAATATTAACAGAACTTTGGGCTTTAATTATGCAGATTGTTTATTTGTGAGTTTATACTTTTATATTTTAGTTTTTTTGTACATCCTTCACCATTAGAGGAAGCCTTTTGTTCACTTTAGTAGTTAGCTCTTTGACTTTGACCTTTGCCTGATCCTCTCCTCCTGTCAGAACCTCAGTCTCAGTCTGTGCTTACAGTCATTTTACTTTTACATTTCAGCTGCAATTGCTAAAGGCACATATTAAAAAGTTATTTTTTCCCCTCCTGACCTGAATAGTTTGTTATAGTTTTTCTGCAGGGCCATGACCTTGACCTCAGCCTCTTCTCACCCTCTGCCCAGATACACCATGGTGTCTCTACTGCAAAGTAACAGAAACATTCTGCCGTTTCAGCGTTGAAAAAAATAATATTTTGCAGAGCAAAAAA